CCACAAGAAATTCAAATCATCAAAAACAAAAATACTGATTGTATTGAATCATTTAGATTTATTTAAGAGATACAAAAGCTTAACAGCTTTTTTCAATAACATTTTATCTTATCTATCTGTGTGAGTATGAGATACATAAAAACAACTTAAATGTACACATGCATATTTAGGTACTATTCATTTATTTGTGAGTGTATTTATTTACATGCATATTATTACTTCACAATGTAGTTTTTACAGTGACAATAAAGACATTTATTCATTAATTTAGTGTTGCTGTTTACGTAAGCAGGGTTTTCTTTAGAATATTACAAACGAAAGAATTTTTTTTAGATTTTCTAAATTATTATTAAACAAAAAATCATATATTGAGATTTATTTAGACCCACTTATTCCACCGTATGTCCTGCACAAAGGAAGGAGAGTTGAGTTTTTATTTATTTCCTGTTTGTAAAAACAGGTCTGAAAGTAACTTTGGGACTAGGAAGGTATTTATTAATATGGGAATCTCATTAGGTTTGTTTGCTGTTTGCTCATTACGTCCGAAAAATTACAGTGACCTATTTTATCAACTGATTTAATTTTTATGTCATTGATACATTTTATGTCAGTGATGCAGTTAATGACATATATGTGGGGGGTTTTCTTTTACTGAATTCCGTTTTATTTTGTTTTGCTTAGTCTGAAATATTTGCATTTCTTATTATTTGAATTCATAGTATTTTGTTTGTATTGTCATTTTTATTATTTCAGATTACCTTTTATCTGACTGAAATATTTGTTTTGTCATGGCAATCTACTTTTTAAAATATTTTTTGCTATGTATTTAATTAGGCTTTAATTAATTGTCTTATTTTTTCATTTTTATTATTATTACAACTTCTTTGTTTCTTTGGATTTATTTATTAATTATTCATTGAATTGGATAAACTTTGGCTATTATTAATACTTCAAGTTGCCAGAAAGTGTCTAATTTTCATTTTAATTTAAGGTTGTGTTATTTGTATTATTTTATAATAAACA